CTCGTAAGTTTCTTTGTATTTATACTGAAGAGGAAAGCAAAGGAAAGAGCCATTGAAAGAATTAGGATAATCCCACCTAATATGAAAATGCTGTTTTAATGATCCAGGGACATTGTATTATAAAATCATTGTGCAAAACAATTTTGCAAGGCAAAAGAAAAATATGTATTACAACCAGGGACATTGGGTTATAAAACAATATTTAAAAACACTTGATTTCTTCTTTGAAAATCGTACCAGAAAGTGACGTATTTAGTAAATGCAAAGTGCTTTGTGAATACAATATTATAATATAGCCTTTCACAATGCTATATTAGTTAAATTTCTCATAGTTATCTCACTGACAGTTCCAAGTAAAAATGTTTTCATTTATTTTAAGGATATTAGTTCTACAGCAATCAATGTAAAAAATAATTGTGTGAAAACATCAACACTCTGCAGTTCAGCAACTTGTATGTTCTTGAACCAATTTTAAGTTTGAATAGAAGTATATGTTTAAATGAAGTTACACACTTTGCCATGTCCATCATATGAAAAGATACACTGGGGTCACAAGCAACATTTAAACAACAGAGCTCATACCTCACTGGCAATTTCTCTGGAAGATTTTGCATGCTTGAATGAAAGAGCATCAACTTTAAAGTCATAACCTTTGGCTTTGGCCTCATCCCAGGCTCCGGTGTAGTGTTTCTGCAATTAAAATACGTGCACAATGTTCGATGCTGGAAGAAACTATAGACTTTCCTGAATTAAACGTGCAGTCCTACGAATATCTACTCAGAAATAAGTCTCAGTATATTTAACTGACTTTTCTCCCAGAGACAAGTGTAGCGAAATGCAGTGTAATGTGTGAAAGATATGAATTTTCAGAATGAATAATGGCACAGGCATTGAATGAATTCAGTTTGTATGTGCATGCACAGTTATGGATGCACACATGTTAAGTAACTGATTACAACTTGTACTTGCTTAATATCAATGCTATGAACTGATATTAATAGAACAAAAGACAAATTTACTTTGAATTGACAATAATAGAACTATGTAAGCAGGGAAAAGTAACACTTAAAACAATAACGCTCTGCTCCAAAGAACAATGTGTTTTGGTACACTAAAAACATCTTGTAAGTTCGGGGCTCTTTGGAATAAACCTATTAGCCAAAATTACAAAAACCTCCCCCTTGTGCCATCTCACAATTCCTGCCACTCAGCTTTGTATTGTCATAGCTTGAGTAACAGTTTTTGAAGAACAGACTATTTCTCAAATAAATGAATGACATGGGGACCATTTTAAAATCTATACATATATTGCTGAGGTTGAGCATCAGTTTCATTCTTGTTACCTAAAATACAAACATACATAGGAATACTCTTATAATTTATAAGTCAAATGTTTTTAAGGACAGTCAATAATAGTAGAATACATCTAAGATAATGTAACAAATAACACAACACTGATATCCTTAACAATCAAATCTATGCTGTTAGTTAATTATCTAGACCAACTGCAATCTGGGTTCAAGCCAGGATGTAGCATTGAAGTGGCATTGATTGAGCTCGTGGATGACTTCTTGTGAGCTCAAGATAGGGGTGGTATATCCATCCCAACCCCTCAGTGGTTTCTGATACCATTAATCCTTCTAGGATAGCTAGGAAGTTTGGGAGTGGGGAAGTGCTGTCCTTCAGTGGTTCTCCTTTCTCCCTGACCGGTTTCTTTCTGTGTTGGGGGGAAGAGGTCCAAGAGTTCAGCTTTTTCTGCACTCCTAATTAACTTCTACGTGAAATTGCTGGGTGAGGTTATCCATTGGCACAGAATGAAGTCTCCATCAATAAGCTGATGACACTCAATTGCACGTCTCTGCCACAGGTCATGCAAGTGATGCTGTTGAAATACTTTCCCAGCGCCTGGAGGTTGGGCAGGACTGGATGGGAAGGAACTAGCTTTGACTCAGTCCTTACAAAACTAAGTGGCTGTTCATTTTATGGCTACCCATATCTGGTGATTTTCCATCGTTAACTCTAAATGGGGTTATATTCCCCCAGGCAGAATACGTACACAATCTGGGCATCCTTATGCATTCACG